AAATCGTGTTTCCGATTGCGGATGTGCAGTGATGGATAAATGACCGCGCCACTCGACGCGCGAACATACTTTCTGACTCCGCCAGTGGACCGTCAAAATTGAGCCCAAACTGTATCTCCGAGGTTGGTACCCAAATCGAATCCGAAATTTCATTTGCCCAAGTTTCTTGTTGGAAGTGTGCCTATTGGTTAGGCAAAAGCGCCCTATTTAATCACAGTATCAACGTCAAGCGTGTCTGACCCAACGTTTCAGGTCTATTCTATTCTCTATGGTAGCTAAAGTAGAGGCTGCATAAAATAATAACGAAGAACTCCAAATGTGGTAGTGTTTATGGTGTGTAGGTTACCCGCGAGGTGAGAGCGATGTCAGCGACGCGTTTGCTGAATATTTATAGCGAATAGCGATCAACTGGAAAGTGTTCTTTAGAGGTTCTGGGTCGTTCATGTCACATTTCTATTAACTAAGCAAAAAATTTAAATTTGCATGTCACAAGTTTTTCATCTAGGTTTCTATTCTTATATAAAGGACATAATTGTCAATTAATCTAGATATTTGTCAAAAACGTTAATTACTGTAAGAACAGAAGTAGGCTGTAAAGCCAGAATAACCACAAGCTAGATTTAGATGAAAATACAGTATCCGATATAAATGGGTTTATTTATCACAATACATTTTTTATTTATTCATAGATCCAACATTTCGAGTGCAGAAACCATATTCACGGGTTCCTAGTCAACAGACAAATAATACCATTTAAAATTAACGGTAGAAAAGGGCGTATTAATTCGGAAAAAACATATTTTTAAGTGCGTGATACTTGCGTAAAGAAAACATAATAGGTATATTATCCAAATCGGTTTTACTCCAAAGCCAAGCAAACTACTTGGACATCATTTTAGAATACTTCATAATTACGTAACTATGATTAATTTATAATCTAATATGTAGCACAAGAAGCTCAGAAGTTATAATCCAATACTTATAGGTTCATAGCTTTGTAACTCCGTCTCACTAGTTTTTTTTTTCAATAGAAAAATGTCACTTTGACAGCTCAAGCTTATACAGCATCTCGTATCGAAGGCCTTGAAATTATTAACGGGTCTATCTTAAACCGGTCTCAAAATATGGCTGCCTACTTAAGACTTATTCTATTATTATTAATATAAAATGGTGGGATGCCTGTCGAACTCAGTTCAGCGTAGGTAAGCATCGCACTATTTATATTAATTATATACAGTGGGAATATTATGTCTTCTGTTAGGTTACGTGATAAATATAAATAAAAACACTTTTGACATACATAATTTAAATCATTTAAGTCACCTTTGCATTTATAATACTGAAAATACATTATACATTAGCGTATTATTCGAGTCATTTAAGTTAATTTTATTTGAAAACATCGCAGTTGTTAGGTCAACAACACTTCCCCCAGTAAGTCAGTACTAGTGCAGCTTAGCTCAGTATAAATTAAATTACATTGTATCGACTTCTATAAACTAGCATTACAGCTAATACTTTCATTGGATAACATATATCATGTAGCGTTTTAACCGGCTTTTTATGTTAACTAAATACCGTACATTATACAGACAAAAAAGGGCTAAGTCGAACCTAAAGGTAGAAGTAGAAATGGCAAGTGAGAATTAACAGTAGAACGACGGTTAAGAGAAATAAAGTCTTGTGTAAGAAGTTAAATTTATAGAAACACACTTAAAACAGCACTTTACCGAAAGGAAACAATTTCTACAAAAACTGAAAACATTCTGTTGATTTAAAAAGTGAAATCATATTTCCCGTAGCGCATAACGCCAGTTGTTTTAATTGCTGGAACTAATCTTACCTTACGAGGCGAAGCGTTGAAGTCTCATTTACATTCTATACCTACTCGTCGATAGGTCAATCGAACGAATTTATTTTTATATAGTTTTAGTAGAGTACAAAGTACACATGTCAGAAGTGAAACTTCTTTGGCAAACTAATTTTTAACTCTTGTTCATATTTATAAAATTCTAGACAGAGGGAAAAGGAAGATATGTTAGGAATTTAATTGTCATTAAAACAGCCAAAAACACGTGGCATTTTAATTTGAATTATTGTAAATTAAAATGCCACGTGTTTTAAGAGATTTTGTCTTTTGAGTTTTCAATAAATTATTTTGCATAAAATATAAAATACTAATATTTCATAAATTCTCATTACGAAATTTTTATTTTAAAAATAGAATTTCTTTAAGATAATTCACCTATCTCTCAATCGGTCTCAATGGCTCTCTCCCTTTTCTTCGACAAAATCGCTGCACATCTTCGTGACGTTCCGTAAAAATATTACCCTCATGCGCCTAAAGAAGTTTCACTTCAAAAAGACTTCTTAAAGAATACCATATGTTGAAATTGGGATAAAATACAATATTCATATTCTATAATATTGGTACGAGAAACAATATCCCAAACGGACTTGTTCATTGCTATTTTACGTACATAATGTGAATTACAATTTAATGCAATATGGCTAGAGAATTTCCTGCAAATAATGGTTGGCATCATTACAGTCACGACGCGACGCTGCATCGCCTGTTAACAATATCAATACATTATAATCTGTACTCTATTGTCATCGTGCAACGATGCATGGATACTTAGGCCTGCACTCTAAAACGTCGACTATTCTTGAATATTGTTCTTTTGGGAGCAATGGCAATAATGTTACGTTGTTATGTTCTAAAGTTGACCGCACTTCGGCCGTGATGTAAAGAATAGAAAAAAAATGTGCCAATTTTTTTAAAATCAGGACAAGGCTGTGGCCCCGATTCGCGGGAAACATCGCCTCGTAATAAATCTGTTAAACTTTTATCTAAAATATGTTTATTATGGAACATAAGATACATGTATCACAATCTGTCCCTCTAGTAACATAATATCACTCTTCAGATAAACACATCTTAGTAAACTACTATTTTTTCCATTTTTCATTTGTATGTACTCTCACTAAAGTAGAGGTCATGAAATCAATGCTTCGTCCTCAAAATAATAAATCTTAAAAAACCCAAAGTCAAGCATTTTAAATAAACGCTTTTTCATAAGCGCCTCGTCCTTTGAGGTCGTTTTAGCAATTGATTAGACGAGTCGATAATAATTTTTGCGTGGGTTCATCTGTAATGTGAAACGAAATTAATTTACTATATAATATGACATTTAAAATGTTTCTTTTTATGTTACAATAATTAATAAAATCGTATTTCAATTGAAATGGATTTTATTCGAATATAAGATTTTCGTTCCGAAACACTAGTTAGTAGCTGTTGATGTCTAGTTTGTATGTGTGTTTTCAGTCAAAATGAGATTTCACCCAGCTGCTCACATTTCTGCGTGTTCGCAAAAAATCTCCTAAACACGTAATGCGTACATAGACATGGAAGACTCCGAGACATTCATTATCACTTCGGACGTCATGTCAGTTTCTTGTGTCAACAGTCGGCGATTGCAGGTGCTCGGATGCGCGGTCGTTCACCTCGCCCGTCACTGATATTTGGCTACTATACATACATATCTATAGTTCCAGATAACGGGCCTAGACGTTCCACTGCCCGGAATCGGGACGTGCCACATTTACATCACGTAATCAACTTTTTATGTACCTACTGTATTACAAAGTTACACGAAATTTATTCTTGTAAGTCAAGATTTTATAGTTTTAAATTTAATTGAAAAGTATGTAATTATAATGATTTGATAGAAGCTTGTCAGCAATATAGAGTATAACATGACAACTTATATTAATAATGTTTTTACACCGTGTAGTACATTGACCTCAAAAAGCAAATTATTTCAATTTCCTTTGTATTAGAAAATAATCAATAAAGTAATTACCCATATCGCGTACAAAAGCGTTGTCAATGTCATTCATTGACCCAAAAAGCATTGTTACGTCATCCGAAAATTTCCTATGTGATTGGAACCCGATCTGGCACGCGATTGAAATTTTAATAATACTCGAATGCAAGAATGAAGTTACAAAAAAGGCTTTCGGGGTCACTAACACGGGGTTAAGATCCGAAGACGCAGCAAAAAATCCCGGTATCCAGAGGGCTTTGGTCGCTAACTGCGCTCGCGCAGGGGAGTGAGCCGTAAGTGGGACACGTACGGGTTATTTCGGTTCCCGAATTGGAGCGGCCCGTTAAACATCGGGGTCTTCGAGCTGGGGACTGGGACGAAAACAAATACAAGTTATACGTGCGGTGGGCGTTTCCTAATGGATACATAGATTTATGTGCGTGGGCCTATTTAATAGATTCACTCCGTGATAAAAGATTCATTATTCGTAATAAATCTGGTTACTATGATAGACGGATTAGAATTAATAAAATATATTAAGTGGATTACCACTCCTTTCACGGATAAGCAGCAGGTTTATGACTTTTATGTAACTATTTGCGTCGCATAACCTACCGATATGTCATAAAATTAGAGGACCTATTTATGGACATTATATGATTTTATTTAACAAATATTGAACATCCGCGTAGACCCCGTGCGACGGTACTCATGTCTTAAGTGTTGATAATTTAGTTGACATGTCTGTATCATTATCAATGGTCAGGTTGATATATAGTCATAAAAGAATAGCCATAATATTATGTTTATACTTTGTAGGTATATTAAGACTTTTTTGAATATCAAGTTACAAGATACGTCACGTTTTTAACCTTTTTGTTCCGATTGTTGCTAAGACGACGTATTATTGAAAAAATATGATAATTTTATTATGTTATAACTATATGATTCAACCTGTTCTATTGTATAATCATTATAGGTAATTTTACGCTACAAGTACCTACTGAAAAAACTCGCTGAACATTGTTGAAAATATATTAATCTCATACCTATATCTAAAATGCAAAAACAAATAGACAAATATGGCGGACGTATTGACGCATTCAAAGAGGTAGGTAAAACCGAGTTTTATTAATAAGAGAGGTGATTTCGTTAAGTCAATTACCGATGCTTTCAAATAATGCCGATTGGGACGGTCCCCGTGCATTCCACATCTTGCTCACCCACAGCACTGGACCGGTCTTCGATTGTACGAAACTTATAATGCGGTCAAATTTTGAAGCGTATCATTCGTTTGATGCTGAATGTGACCGCGACGCCTTTTGCTTCGGTGGGGTTATAAGGTGCGGTCTCAAGGTGAATCGCGCGGTCAACACTCGATTGAATGCCTAGGCCCTAGACTAAACATTGCCGCGTCTCATAACTATTGATAACAAAATTTTACATTGTGATTATGTGACGTGCAAATGTCTATTGTTTTGTCATAGATCAGAACAATCGATTGTTTCCACATGAGACTTGAATAAAAACCATTTTGATGCGAACACTCTAATCGAATTCTATTAAAAGTATTTGGTTATCTTATTACCCTGCCTTATTCTTTCGTGTTTCTTAGACAATTAATTAATGTCAAGTGATCAAATAATACGGTCGCGCCTAATGTTTAGTGTACAATACGAGTAAGCCCTAGAACTAGCTCTTAACTATGTTGACAAAGCTCCAAATGAAAAATGTGAAACACGATGACAGGGCGTGGGTTTCATAATCATGTATCGTAAAAATAAACTACACGTTCTATTTAATATTATAACAGCTCTTTTGTGTCGAAACATAATAGGAACATATTATTTTTTATCTAAGGCTGAATAAACGGGCTGGACGGGTTTAACATAGATTTTCTATGGCGCTGAATAGTATAATTTTGAGCCACGTGCGCTGAATAGTATGTATAGGTTAATAATAAATGTATTAAAGGGGCCTATTTTATATGTTCCCGTGTTAAGTAATCCTATGGAAGGAAGTCAATGGAGCTCACACAATAAGGCCAGAGGGCCGTTGACCGAAATAAAACGTAAAGCTTAATCGTTAGAAAACTGGAACCGGTATCTGTGCCGACATTTCGCATTCAACTCACTATACTACAAGTTGTATTTAGTACTTACCCTGGTATTATGTAACAGTGGGCATTGAAAACAGTCATGAAGTAAGTTTTAGAATTGGTATTTTTATATCATAAAATATGTAAATATGCATTTGATTTGCTTGAAATAGCACTGTGCCTACTGCGTATGTCTACACAAGAAGCTATAAAACTAAACTTCGTTCCCTTTTAAATTAGTGGTTTTAAAAGTGTCATATTTATAAAAAAAAAATTCCTCGAATGACCCTTATTGAGGTCGTTGAACCTTTAATTAAGGCTTTACGAACTCGAAAATTTTTGGTAACATTGCAACTTGCTAATCAGTACGAAAATATCACAATTAAAGCCCAAATTACCACATTCTTTCATTCACTTACAATAGATAACTTAAATTCATTATTTTTAAAGCAGAATCTACTATCTGCTTTGGGTAAACCAAGTAGGTGAGTTCTAAAGTGATTTAGTAGTAGATTTTGCAATACAAACTGCAATAGTGTTCGGGCCATCGTGAATTCAAGTGCAAAAAAGTGCATTTCTTATTCGCCGAAGACAGCGTATAAAATTAGCGAGTGTTGATGTGGTTTAATTCGATTCCCGCTTCATATTGGCAACGAAGGGCCGGTTGTCTTATCTGATCACGAAGCTTTTTGGAAATAATGATTGCTTAAATTCACTCTTCAATTATTAAAATATCCTCTCGCTCCATGAATCTCTGATGAGCATAATATTCGGCATTGCGCATGCGCGCGAGACCATAGCAATGATTGACAATGGGCAATGGTGCTCGGACGACCTACATGTCCATTGTAGCGTCAAGATGGAAAAATCGGCCAAGGTAGAGTTCTGTAACTTTGCTTAGTTATCTTTAGACTTTCTTAAATCTTTACAACCTTACTAAATAACAACTGTTTTGAAAAATTCTTACTTACTTTTGCCTTTTTTGTTGAAAATCATCTTTAAGTTATCTAGTTGAATGTTATTTCATAGAACACATAATTATGTAATGTCATATTCATAAGCATTTCTGGAAACCGATTTCTAAAAACTTGAAGGAAAAGAGTGGATTTACCGGTAAGAACCTATGAGGATGGAGTACAGATGTCGTGATGTTGACTTTATTTCAATATTTATTTAGAGAAATAATTGAGAATTCATACTCTATATTATGAAGAATATGTCGAACATAAGATTAAATAACGTTATACTCCGTTCTTTAAATTATATATATCCTCTATAATTATTCAAAGTCAACATTTTTCCTTATAAAATTTAAATAAATTCCACTTTATATATCTTATTAATTTCAATTAAAATACCTACCAACTTTTTCACAGTGAGCTCGAACATAAAGCACACTTTTCTTTTTACACAACGTTCACGCCAGGTACAAACACACATTCACATATTTATTCTGACAAGACAAAGTTGTTTTGACTCGGATTATTTTGAATTATCTTAACGATTTTTAAGCTTATGTAAATTGAACAATACCTCTTGTCTCTAAAACCGGTATAACGTTTTTTCAAACGACACAGTTCCTAAAATAAATCCAGTTCTTAATTCGAAGCTAGCCTATATTTTTTAATAGCGTGGCATCGAACGAAAAAATTTTCGCAGTTGTGTATTGATTTTTTTAGGTTTAACTCAAAGTTGTTTAGCTAAAAGTTACGCAATTTACATTTCGCCTACAAACTATATCTCATAACGTTTAAGGCAAATGTATAAATTATGGAGTTGAGATGCTAAACAAGTTATAAGTTCAAAAAACTAATCGATAGGTAAGAAATTCACGACAGAAGCGGAAGTGCGACACGTGTAGTTATCTTGGCAACAAACATATATAATAGACAACTGTACGATGTTCTATTGATCGAAGACCATCAACGTTTTCGTATTAAGAAACGTACATTGCTGTTCAAAATGGAGGTTAATAAAATCGTTACGGAGGAAACAAGCAATGAAAATCGTGCAACCACAACGCTTGCGTTGTTTAGTTACAACTTACATAACACAATCGGTCACTAGCTGCACACGCATATTGACACATTCTGTAGCTGTATAAATACTAAAACAATATACACACACTACTGTAGCAGTGTTTCCCTGATATTTTTTTACGCTAAATTCTATTAAAAACGAAACGAGTTCATAATTATGATGACCTTGTATTCCTAGATACACTTTTCAAATGATTAGCCGTCTATTCAAATATAAATTCGGCTAATAAGGCCATTTTATACTTGATTATATTCTAGATAATTCTGGAATTCCGTGGAGGAGGCTTTTATTTTATTACTGGCTGTTAGTTTGTCGTATATATCTGTTTGTATTTATTTTATTGAATGCAATTGAATAATCCTTATTAAGTATTATTATTTATGATTGTCTTTAATTAAGGGTTACAGACAGCGGAAATAAGTGCTTTGTAAATGTGTAAGTAGGAAACGGGTATCGATTAGAGGTTTAGACTAGTGGGGTAGCCGGTAGGGGGTCCGCCAACGGCTAGTGGCGTTTGCAGCGGCGGGACAGCGTTTGGGCGGTGCGTGCCGCGTGCGTCAGGGTCAAGGACAACCCCATTCAGCTCCGAACACGTGCCCGAATGTAAATATCGTACTCGAAACGCCAAATTCACCCTTCTATAGCTTTAATTAAAAAAGACTATCACTACTCGATCTAAAATTAAATGCACGTTGTAATTGCGCAGTCAAGAGTTATTTGTGACTACTTCCTAAGAATGATGATGATGAACTAACAATTAGTTTGAGAAGATCTATGTTCGATATGTTTATAGATCAAGAAACTCTTAATCTAGGTAATGGTTGACTTGTACTATTCGAGCTGGTATCAGCTGCATCATCAGTTGGCGGTATGCGCTAAAGCCTCAATAAAAGCTCCTGAAACAAAAAGAAAACAGTCGCGAAATAGCAAGCAAGGCTTTCAAAGGGCCCCTTGTTCGTGCTGTGCTATAATCATAAACATAGAAAACGCACAAAAGCCTCTCGGCGTCGCGTCGCGTTGCTGTCAGATAAAGTTGTAGCATTTCTTTTGCTAGACGTGCGGAGCGGCCTACGGAGTGAGGGCGATACGCGGGAAAGAGACGGCTGCCTCACGCCGATCGTTAGCCCTGATCTTCAGCGCGCCACAAACACAGAGCCCGACCGAGAGCGAAATTGCAGCGAGAATGCACCTAGCTGTGTTATTAACACGAGCGCTTCAGGGAAAAAAGGCCTTCTTCCGTTGTCGAAGACGGACAAATCTGTAGCGAATTTCAAGGCAAATAGGACGCAAATCGCTCGCACGCTAATATAAACTGGTTATTTTTCCCGACAAGCCATTGTGGACGTTGTCGTCGGGACATAAGCTTCGTTCGCCGCGGCCCCGCGCTATGCTGACTAGTATATTTAGCCCGCATTGCAACGACCGGCGTGGTGGGTGTATTAGGTCGCTCGCACGCACTGCTGAACTAGTCGGAGGGCTTCCTATTATCGATTTATGTTGCAGATGCCGGGGAATTTTACACGTTTTTTCTGACCGAGGCTTTCCTATTTTTCACATCGACGCGCTGCATTCAATTTCTCTTTCGAGAACTTTATTCACAAGAATGTTGCCGATGAAATACATAGTGCTTTCACTCGGATCTTAAATTCCGATCTCTCTGCGATATTTTTTTATTTGTTTATGTCTAGCATATCTAGGTATCGTAGACTTTCAAATAAGATTTATTGAATCTAAGTAGGTTAACAACTTCAGCCTGAACAACTGAATTACAACAATTAGCCTTAGGGGGCTATTGTTTATCAACATAAGTTTATTTATTTATTGAATCTTGGCCAGAATTTAACTACATTGTATAATATATAGATCGTTGGAGTGACCTAGTTGGTTTTATTTGCTACATGAATTATTTAAGCGTCAAACAACAAACGATAAATAGATAAAACTAAAATAAATACTAGTAAAACCAAAAATTACAGTGACCTATTTATTAACGTATTATTAAGAACATTTTCTCAATGCAACACATGTCTAAAAGGCAAGGAAGACATGGTTTGCTTAAAAAGCTTGGTTTCCCTCATTTACTGTCATACATTACCATTTCAAAATGGTAAAGCGTCGGTTCAATTATCACTTAGTACATATCAATAAGCACATTAGGTAAAATTAGCCAAAAAATAATTTCCTAACATCTATAAGTAAAACGAAAAATTGGAAATAGTCCAATGTTTATCGATTTCGCCTTTTAAACGCCCTTTGTGGAGTTTTAAAATGCGGTTGCAATGTGGCATGTTCGGTGAAATGCTAAATATAGGCCGATAGCGGGGAAGGAGAGCCTGGTTGTGCGTGGTCAGGATTCAAGCCCCCCTCGCCCCACCCCCCTGGCCCGCAGTTATAGGGCTGTCTGTCTCTACTCGACAGGAGAACAATGTCTAGACCGCACTGCAGCTATGCGAAACAAAAAGACTCGCTTTTCATTTAGATAATGAATAGTTCGTATTGAAAACTGACTGAGGCAAATCTGAAGATATTCAAGTTTTTATTTGACACATTTCATTCTAAAACCTTACGTCGCTGACCTGTAATTCAATCTTAATTTTGATTCTCAAAACCTTCACTTTCAGAGCCGTGTTGCTAGTTTGTGAACCCTGAGTCAGTGTAGAGAATATGTATATAAAACGCGCGTGCGTGTAAAATATATGTGGTTATAAGAGAGGAAACAAGTGTACATTTAGAGTGCATGGAAAAAGTCGGGAGTACGGTCAGTGGGGGAAGAGTGTGCTATGCCTCGTAGCCATGTTGCTATAGGTCAGGAATAATTTGGACTTCGTGTTTCTGAATCGTTAGACTGTGAATTTTAATATTTTGTTCAATATAATATGTTATGTACTAGGTATGCTTAGTGGTTTGGTTTGCGTAATTTACACAATATTGGAATCTTCTCAGATTAACTGTAATAATCTACACAGATTGTGAGGAGGAAAGATTTGTTTTTTCAAAAATGAAACAAATAAATTTTAAAACTTTTACCATTAGAATGCTACATTATTTCAAAATATTACGGAGTAAATTTAATGCTAAACATTTAAAAAAAGGAGCTTGCAAAGCAGGGACGCGCTTATAAAATATAAAAATCTATAGGCCGCCCAACATTTTCGCTTTAAACAGCAAAGATTTCACTTTGAATTTTAAAAGCAACAAAACTTAACATAACGAGGCCAGCAACCCGCGCAATCTGTGTCTGTGTGCGTAAACTTAAATTAAACGTGTCTAGAACTGCCTACCCTCACACTTGCGCGGCTAGTGTATTTGCAACCTCACACATTTGCATGCCATAGCCCATGTTGCAAAAAGGCAGTCAGAGACAATAGACTTTTTGAACATAGCTATGAATCGAGTTGTGGTCGTTCTACAAACGCTTCGTTCGTTTATGATGCTGGTATATAAAATGTAGCCCCATATATCTACGTAGGCTGTGACATTTATTTGTACGCATACCATCGCCATGACCAAAGAGACCTTTTACTGCTGTTATTTTCGTAAAATGGTATAAACCAAAGCTTAATCGTAGATAAGCTATCTATTTGTAACGTTACCAGACTGAGCAGGCGATTTGCCAATCAAATATATTATCCCTGCAAAGGTTGTTTCTAAATATACATTTGTGACTATGACGAGCTAATAATGTAGGTATTTAAACCGATCATCACTCTATTTTATCCATTCTAATAATAATAAATGGTCTTCGACGGCCTCATTGCCATATTATTTATAGCTAAATAAGTTTTTTTTAAATATAACTAAATTTTACTAAAAGTTATCGGTATAAACTGTTTATTACTTTATTTTACTTACGAAAATAAACCACAATGTAGTTTATTAAATACTATAACGGAATTTTTAAACCACAATAGAACAAAATGTTCTGTGTCTTCTAATACAAACATTCTACTTATCTTTTTAGGGTAATAAACAGTTATAGTTTACCATAAAATACCAATGGCTTTTACAACTAATTTAAAGTACACTCAAAAACACCAGGTCTTCAAAGAACTGCCTTTTATACCGATGTTCACAGTTTTTAAATAGAAACAGAGTATCTTGAATATTTTATTTGATATTGAGAATGAAACACGATATTTCTTATATAATAAAGGTTATTATCAGAGTGAAAGATTACAGGCTAAGACTGTTCAATTTCTCAAGATAATTTGCAATTACTTCGGCTTAAATTAGTATTGTAATTAATGTAATTTGTTACGATTAGACATTTAATTGGTTGTGTAACTTTCAGATTATAACGCCACCCCGCTGTTCGCCTCGGAAAACGCCTCCAGTGGTATGTACTCTACAAAAGCTTTTCTTTGCGATTTACGTATCCCATTTCCATACACATATACGTAGAACCCCCATAACCTAAACCCCCCTAACAAAAAAACCCCCCCTCCCCCAAAAAAACTCCCCCCCCCCCCCCCCCCCCCCCCCAACCCCCCCACACAAAAAAACCCCCCCCCCCCCCCCAAAAAAAAAAAACTCTCTCTCCCCCCCCCCCCACAAAAAAAAAAAACCCCCCCCCCCCCCCCCCAAAAAAAATTTTTTTTTTTTTTTTTTTTTTTAAAAAAAAAAAAAAACAATTCCTTTTTTTTTTTTTTCCCCCCTTTTCCTTTTTTTTTTTTTTAAAAAAAAAAAACCCCCCCCCCCCCTTTCCTTTTTCCCTCTTTAAACCTTTTCCCCTTTTTCCTTTCTTCCCCCCCCCCCCCCCCCCCCCCCTTTTTCCCTTTTTCTTTTTTCTAAAAAAATAAAAAAAAAAAAAAAAAAATTTAATTTTTAACTTTCCTTTTTCCCCCCCCCCCCCCCCCCCCTTCCATTAAAAAAAAAAAAAAAACAAAAAAAAAAAAAACCCAACCCCCCCCCCCCCCCAACCCCCCCCCCACCACCCAAACCACCAAAAAACAAACCCCAAAAAAAAAATATTTTTTTTTTTCCTTTTCTTTTTTTTTCATAGTACATCCTAAATTGCGACTTGTATTTTAAGGACGAAAAAAGAAAAGCATTTCTTGTTTAAAAGTTCCACAGTGATATTATATCAAAAGCGTTAAAGAAAGTCTTACGAAAGAACAATTAAGTAGTTTTAAATAATTAAATATTTAATTACTAGCAAAAAGTGCATTGACCTCAATATTAAAACTCGTATCGATTGAAAAGTCGTGAATCGCCGCCAGCATTCTGAAACGTGCTTTCTGGCTTTCTCCAACCCTTTTATTTCATAATCTATATCTAGATAATTCTAAAACGCTAACTAATCATTTGGAACATCTTAAAATTATGGTATATTTATCCGAAGATTTATGTTAGCTGTTAATATTGCTCCGCACACCTTGATTGCCCGTCTCCTATAAAATTGTTATGTTTTCTAATAAAATTACATGTAACGGTTTACACGATGCGAAAAATGTTTCATAAATTTAATCTGAGCCGTTCCATTAAAACGGTAGTACCTACGTACCTTCGAATGGTGGTATGAAATGTATCGAAGAAGATAATATGTCCGCCCCACACATCACTGTTGACCAGACTTGTTTTCGAATTTACGAGACGTATCTGTTCATTATATGTCAAGAAGTCGATACTGAAGATGAACTAGTGAGGTGATAAGCGTTTGATTGCGTGATATTCCCAATACGTGGCTATAGGTTATTAACCCAGTGAGATAAGGTATCGCCGCCGGCGCATACGTCCTACATACTTCCGCGCGCTTGTCGATGTTTTGTCGGGTACATATCTATAGACAATTTACAAAACATATCTCGGTTATATACAAATTATGCAATTGACGCAGTCAGTTTGGTGGTAGTATTTAATGCGACTTTACTTGGCTGTTTCTTAGCGAGCAAATAGAGAGAAAGAGAAAATGCGCACGAGGCGCAACCGGCAGATATTTAGAATTTAAAATACTTTCTAATCTTTCATCATCATCTACGTGCCCTAGGCCCAATTACAATATGTTATTAGTTCACGCGATACAAAATTGGTTTACCATCTTTTAAAATCTATTGTAAGGTAACAGTTGTGATGAAACATTGTTGCGAAAGGATATTAAATAATAAGTATAATTAAAGAGCTAAATAGTGCGGCGCCTAAAGTCTAGACCTACTCTTTGCCTCTCGCCTAGAAACATGTCGGGTAACTTCGTCACTAGAGAAATTACCAACTGGTTTGCAATGCGACGGCCATTTACAACATATTCAACATCCAGAGCCGTATCAT